CTTAAAAGGGAAAAAGAAGACTCTCAAACCACAAAATAATTAAGCATTCATTTTGTCATATTTTGAGTTATATTTTCTGTACTAATAATATGACCTGTCTGTGGCAGATTTCAACATAGTTGGCATGTAGCTTCCTTTTCTCATGAATGTGATTTCATTTAAAAAATCAGCTTTTTCTATTATGAAAATGTCATAATGGTTCTCTGATATTTTATTTAAGCTTTCATGCTCACTTCTTAATAGAATTTTCAAGGGAATCATCATTTATATTTGATCTCTTTAAAAACATAATTTACCAGTTCTGAAGGAAGAATTAAATTTCATATCATAAATATAATACAATGAAAAATTTGTAAAAATTTCCCAAATTTTTTGGTTATTAAATTATATCAGAGGGTTGTTAAGTTGCCATCGAGTCAACTCCTACTCATGGTGACTCCATATGAGCAGAGTAAAAGTGCTTCATAGGGTTTTCACGGCTGTGACCTTTCGGAAGCAGATCGCCTGGCCTGTCTTCCTACGTGTCTATGGGTGGGATCGAACAGCCAACCCTTCGTTTAGTAGTCATCAGAGGATAGACTTACCCTAATCTTGAAAAATGATTCTATGGGTTTCTCTTAAGTCTTTTTGATATATTAAGTCTCATACTTAAATTTATTTACTTTAATTAAAAGATTTAACCCTCATAAAAAGAAATGTCTTCTAGAATATATTATTTTGATGTTTACTTCTGCTCAACATCCCACTCCAATATTTTGATTATAATGTATCGTATATGATTCACTATTCAAAATATTTATGCCTTGCTAAATTAGAAAAGGTTTTAAGTTATTATCTATTTCTTACTTCATAAACAGTTTCATTTCCTCTATTTCATATATATTTTTCATATTCTTAAGCTTGAAGTTATATGTTGAAATGGTATGGATGAGTTGGGGGTGGAATTGAAAGAACGTTTTTCATTGAGTTCAGTTGACATACAATGATTAGCATAAGAGAACTGTGTCCCTGATGGGATGACTGTATTTGACAGGTGATATCAGCCTTTACCTTTTCCTCTTCCCTTTGCCTTATATCCATTTGAATCTAATGCTGACTTGAGACACCGGAGAATTTTTATCTCATTTTTGTTTTGTCCACATAGGAAATTCCAAAATCATCTAATAGC